TTTAGAAGTTAATCTGGGTTCTGTATCCACCATTTGAACAACCCTTCGTTGTAATATTTCAGTAATTTTGCTCTTCTGTCCCCATCCAGGGGGGTTAGCTACAGTGCATGTAAACCTCTTGATGATACTGCGCACAGTGGACACAGGAACATTAAGATCTCTGGAGATGGACTTGTAGCCTTGAGATTGTCAATGTTTTTCCACATTTTTTCTCTCTCAAATCCACAGACAATTCTTTACACTTCATTCTTTTCTCCAAGCTCAGTGTCACACACAACACAAAGGTTGGGTCAACTTTTCTCCATCTTAACTAGTTGCAAGTGTGATTACTATATTGTCCATACCTCTTACTTGTGACAGCTGTGTCTAAATACAAATTAAAGGAGCATCACATGCTTGAAAAGCAATTATTTCTTACAATTTAGACAGGGTGCCAATAAGTTTGGCCAGTGCATTTTTGGGTTTTTGTGTGGGATTGTATCAGATTTGACTTTTCTTCTCTGTTTATGTGTGTGCGTGTTGTTCTAACGCAAAACAAAGAAATGAACATGTGAGTACCAAAACATTTGCAACTGCAACAATTTTCTGAGAAAAGGGTTGCATTTTTGACAGAATTGCAAGGGTGCCAATATTTTTGGACATGACTGTACCTGTCTTGTGGTTTTCCACTTGGGCTGAAAGCTGAACTCGGTTTCTCTTTGATTGGAGAGGACTTAAAGAAATTGACCTTTGTGAGATAAAGTACATGGCTGTCATGAAGGGATAGATAGTTGCAGAATTTAAAGAAATGTAAGGAAATGGGATGTGAAGAAGGATCGAAAATAAATTTATGTTAACCAAAGTAATCTATGTTGCAGTCTGCAAGATGCTTTAAAAAGTGTGCCTGTCTTTGAAGGAAAAGTTTAAATAATATGCAGATAAACATTCTCTTTATAAGTTGACCCATGACACTAACCATCATACACATTTGTATTCCATCTATGTGGCATTCGTATCTCCAAAGACACCCAAAACTGTGCACAAAACGATACATATATAGCACACACAATAATAAAATACTTCACATAAAGTAAAAATGGATATCTATGAAAAATGCACAAACGTGTTAGTAAACAGAAAATAATGTTAAACATATGTTAAAAATATGTATTCAAATATACATGAATGCCCTGGCAGAAGGGGCAAAAAAGACAAAAGTCCCTTTTGGTACAAGGATGGAAAGAAAATGCAAGTGGAATGTGGAGAAATGCATTAGAGTCAAAACTAAGATTTTAATATTTACATAATATATGTGAAATGAAATAGTATCAATAGGGGTTGTTAGAAGGAAAGGTATAAATAAACATTGTTACAACAGTGCTTCTGGTTGTTTTGGAAAGAGCTACTATAACCATAAAAAAATAAATTAACGAGATAGAAATGTTTAGTGGAATCTGCCTCATTCATAGCCTCATCTGGTGGAATCAGGAAAGTTCCTAAATCGTTTCACTCTTAAGTTGTCAAATTGTCTTGGAGTTATGGCGACCTTATGAATGAGTAACTTCTGAAATGTCCTCTCATGAATAGCTCTGCCTAGCTTTTGCAAACTGGAGACTGTGTTTCCTTTCTTCTTATAATACTTTCTTATCTTAAGACCTAGCTTGTTTCAAGACTCTTGTCAGAAAGTGCATGAAGCAAAGAAGTTGTTACACAAATAGTGTGATTCATTTGAGAAATATTTTGCTTCTGAAACGATATATGAGACCTTTTAAAAACAAGATTTTTGTTAAAATGCCAAGATTCTGATGTCGTACTGATTTATTTATTTATTATTTGTTTGTTTTTTAAAAATCAACCATAATATGTTGTTTCTTTTTGTAGACTGTCTTTCTCAGCATCCTAATGAAGTCTATAGGGAACAAAAACACAGTGCTTCTTGGCCTCGGGTTTCAAATGTTCCAGCTGGCGTGGTATGGTTTCGGTTCTCAGCCTTGGTAGGTGTAGTGCTCTTTGTACAAATAAATCTGGCAGCTGGGTCTTTGTTGGATGCACTGCACTTTCAATTATTGTAGGCCACGTTTGATGCCCATGATGCTGAATGAAAGGTTCATTTACTTCCTATAAGTAAATCTTCAGTGGGCTGGCTCCTGTGAGTTTCATACATCAGCTTAAGTGCAGTCTTGTAACTTACAACAGCAAATTGCTCTTAGTTAAGCTCCTTGTTGCATGATGAGGAAATATAAGCCTTGACTCGTCAACTAGTGGTGTTTCACCTCTGAGGTTTATGCCATTACAGTTGCATTGCATGAACAAGTCATAGGATTCTGGCCAGTGTGTTTAAATATTCTCACTTTAAAGGGGTTTTGGTCTGAGTGGCTTCTAAAGTTAGCGTTTCTCACTGAAGCCCACAGTCAAGTAGATAAAGAGAAAAATCATGCCTTCTGCAGCTCAAGTGGTAGCAGTAGATGGTTATTTGAGGAAAATTGGGATGCAGTAATCTCTGTTTTGGAAGTTTTAGTCATTTTAAAGCACTTTGCTAACATTTTAAACCTTTTATGTGGGAAAGGATTAAGAGCATGGCTACAGATTATGCTCGTAGTCACTTTAGCTCTTCACATCCCCACAGTGTTTCACATGTGAGCCGTAACACATTGTAGCATTTGCCACATAAAACGGGACTACCACCGAACAGCTGTCCCTGCACGTATGTGGAGAAACGTGCTGATTGAGGCACCTTGTACATGGGTTAAGTAATTTCCAAATATTGCGGTTAGAAGTACTTCCCGTGGGGATACAAGTCCTCACATCAACATATCACATTGCCTTGCTCTAAATGTAATCCTACCAGTAAGATACAGTATCAGCTGAGGGCTGTTTTTTTGTTTCTGAACAGTGTCTTTATTTCAGATTATATAATGACATTGATTTATGTCTTGTTAGGATGATGTGGGCAGCAGGAGCTGTAGCCGCCATGTCGAGCATTACTTTCCCAGCAATCAGTGCTCTTGTGTCACGAAATGCAGACTCGGACCAACAAGGTGAATACTTGTAGAAAATTCATTTTTCTAGAAAACTGTTCCATAAAGCCATTCTCTTTCAAAAACCAACATGCCCAGATACCTTTGTACTGTAACAAAACATCTGCGTTTGGAAAGCAACACATTCTGTATCTTATATGTTCCTGTATATATGTAACAGAAAGCCAACCTATATGTACTCTCTTTCCAAGGATCACATTTGAAAAAGGTAATCCATGGGTTAGAGGAATCTCTCTTTACGTGAAGGGCCACATCTCTCTCATAGATAATGCATAAATGGCACACCCTGGAGTTTGTGGGGCTTGGATCAAAAGACTACACTCTGGATCCAGATTTGCCATGAACCGGATTTTGTCCACTGGTGGTCTGTTGTCCATCCCTGTTGTAGTCAGTGCAGCCATATCTTCCTGTGATGACTTGTTTCACAATTTTGTAAAAAGAGGGAAGTGAACCTCCCTTTCACACTTTGTTTAGATAAGCATAAATCTGTTTATCAGCTGGTACTGTTTTTGGGCATCAGTGTCTGTTTCCCAGGAATGACTAACTGTGACACTGATGATTCCGCTGTGGGAGGCAAATGACTAGCTAATCTTCAGCTTCTGAAATCTTTCTCCTGTTAAGAGCAGGATGTGCTCTCAAGAGATGACTGGGAACTAAAATCATATTTGGTATGGTCAGCCCTGCAGGGTCAGCATGATTATTGAATAAAACAATTCGCAGGTCAAAGAGAGTTGCAGACTTCACTTATCTGTGTGATAGTATCTGAACCAATTATGTAGACTTCAGTCGGTCATTTCCCTTTCTTGTAAGAGGACCACAATTCTTTTGCTGTGCGGTACACCTTGTGGTTCTTGTAGACTGTGGAAGTTACTGCCATCTAGTGGTGATGGAATACCAGAGCATCCTTTTTTTTTAATGGAAAGTGCATCATCTAGTCATTTAAGAACTTGGAAACAATGAAACTCCTACTTCTGAGAGCGTATTTATGCTGTTCCTGTCTACAGTATTTATTTGCAGTCCAGCTAATCCTTCTTGAAGGCATGTTTAAATACTTTATCATCTTGAAATAAGGTCAACCTGGTAATTAAGAATCATCAGACTGCAAGTGCGAATTATAATTTTAAATGAATTGGCAAATGGAAACGATGTGGCCTTCATTATTAACTTGCTTCCCTACAGGTGTCGTTCAGGGGATAATAACTGGAATCAGAGGCCTGTGCAATGGTCTTGGCCCTGCTCTTTATGGCTTTATTTTCTTTCTGTTCCATGTGGAGCTAAATGAGTTGGCACCTGTTCAGGATAAAACAGTTATGCAGGATCCAACTGATGAGGTAATTATTAATTGGTGTATTGTTTTAAATTGTTTTTGAGCAATGTAGTCTGTGACCTTTCATTTCTGGTTTGAAAACCTACCATCCTAGCTATATGTCAAGGGAATTTTACAGGTCTGTGTGGGTTTTTTTCATATAGTGGTAATATTCTATGAGAGAGACATTTCTAGCCCAAATTGCTGCTTAAAGGCTGAAAAACAGTGTTTTTTCAGTCATAGAATCCTGGGCTATGACGTCTAAGAGATGGAGACATATTTTTCTTGCAGTTCCAGTTTCACTTGGAACAATTCCTGACAGCAGTGTCTTGAATTCCCACCCCTATTTCAAAACTTGTTGTGATAGGAAGTCAAGTGAGGAAACTTGTGAATTAGATTACTTAATTCTGGTTATAAACTAGGGGTGGGGACCATGAGGCTCTCTAGATGTTGGACTGCAACTTCCATCACCTTTAAGTAGAATAGTCAGGTAGATATAAGAGATGATGGAAGAAGTGGTTCTACATTCCAGATTTCTACAGCTTAAGTGGGAAAAGCTGTACTGGGATATAATCTCAAAAATGATAGAAAGATTTCAGTACGAAACCAAGGCAGACCTTTCAACATCACAGTAATCCAAGTTTGTGCACCAACCACTGATGCCGAAGAGGCTGAAATTGACCAATTCTATGAAGACTTACAACACCCTCTAGAACTGACACCAAAGAAAGATGTTCTTCTCATTCTGGGGGATTGGAATGCTAAAGTAGGGAGTAAAGAGATAAAAGGAACAACAGGTAAGCTTGGCCTTGGAGTTCAAAACGAAGCAGGGCAAAGGCTAATAGAAACTTGTCAAGAGAACAAACTGGTCATCACAAACACTCTTTTTCAACAACACAAGAGGAGACTCTACACATGGACATCACCAGATGGGCAATACTGAAATCAGACTGATTATATTTTCTGCAGCCAAAGATGGAGAAGACCTGGAGCCGATTGTGGCTCTGATCATCAAGTTCTTATTGCAAAATTCAAGCTTAAACTGAAGAGAGTAGGAAAAACCACTGGGTAGTCAGGTATAAGCTAAACCAAATCCCTTATGAATACACAGTGGAAGTGAAGAACAGATATAAGGAACTAGATTTGGTGGGCAAAGACCTGGAGCCGATTGTGGCTCTGATCATCAAGTTCTTATTGCAAAATTCAAGCTTAAACTGAAGAGAGTAGGAAAAACCACTGGGTAGTCAGGTATAAGCTAAACCAAATCCCTTATGAATACACAGTGGAAGTGAAGAACAGACATAAGGAACTAGATTTGGTGGGCAGCCTGAAGAACTATGGATGGAGGCCCGTAACACTGTACAGGAGGCAGCAACAAATATCATCCCAAAGAAAAGGAAATGCAAGAAATCAAAGTGGCTGTCCAACGAGGCCTTACAAATAGCAGAGAAGAGAAGGGAAACAAAATGCAAGGGAGATAAGGAAAGTTACAGAAAATTGAATGCAAACTTCCAAAGAATAGCAAGGAGACACAAGAGGGCCTTCGTAAAGGAACAGTGCAAAGATATAGGGTAAAATAATAGAAAGGGAAAACCAGAGATTTGTTCAAGAAATTGGAGATATTAAAGGAACATTTTGTGCAGATGGACATGATAAAGGGCAAAAATGGGAGGGACCTAACAGAAGTAGAAAGCACCAAGAAGAGGTGGCGAGAATACACAGAAGAATTATACCAGAAAGATCTGGATGTCTGGGACAACTGAGATAGTGTGGTTGCTGACCTAGAGCCTGACATCCTGGAGAGTGAAGTCAAGTGGGCCTTAGAAAGCATGGCTAACAATAAGGCCAGAGAAGGTGATGGCATTCCAGTTGAACTATTTAAAATCTTAAAAGACAGTGCTGTTAAGGTGCTACACTCAATATGCCAGCAAGTTTGGAAAACTCAGCAGTGGCCAGAGGATTGGAAAAGATCAGTCTACATCCCAATCCCAAAGAACGGCAGTGCCAAATAATGCTCCAACTACCGTACAATTGCACTCTTCACACACTAGCAAGGTTATGCTCAAAATCCTACAAGGTAAGCTTCAGCAGTATGTGGACCGAGAACTCCCAGAAGTACAAGCTGGATTTTGAAGGGGCAGAGGAATTAGAGACCAAATTGCTAACATGCACTGGATTATGGAGAAAGCCAGAGAGTTCCAGAAAAAACATCTACTTCTGCTTCATTGACTAAGCAAAAGCCTTTGACTGTGTGGACGACAGCAAACTATGACAAGTCCTTAAAGAAATGAGAGTGCTTGACCACCTTATCTATCTCCTGAGAAATCTATATGTGGA